CTGCGGTGGCCGCCGACTGATTGACTGACTGACGCGTGCCGGCGGTGAAGGTGTTCGTGGTGGGGCACGACTGGGGCGCCATCGTGTCGTGGAATCTCTGCCTGCTGCGGCCGGACCGGGTGCGCGCGCTCGTCAACCTCAGCGTCGCCTTCATGCCGCGTCACCCCTCGGCAAAGCCCGTCGACTACTTCCGCCGCGCCTACGGCGACGACTACTACGTCTGCAAATTCCAGGTACGGGATTGCTTCCTGTCCAATGTTCGGCCGCTGTATTATGAGCAATCCGGGGACCAGAGCTAGGAAACCTGCTGCAAATGCCTAAATCGGGGCATGGTGATTTGAGATTTCTATAGTTGCTATGTACTAGTATGGTTCTTTTGTTATCCATTTCGGGTGTGGGAGGGCATTGGCTCACCGTAATTTCACAAATTCAGATAAGAAATGGCTGATTGGGCATAGGGTTGCTTGTTCAAAGAGGAGAAAACAGATGATATGAAAGTCTTGTTAATTTGTCATGTCAATTGATCTTCCAGGGGTCTGGTTTAGTTTGTGCCTATAAAATTGTCCTTCTTTGCTTGCTATAGCAGTTTCCTGTCTAAAGCTAGCTTCTCAGTTTTAGCGCAAATTGCAGTTCATCAATTGTAATTAAGGATTTACTAAAATAAATGTATTGGCATGGAGCACTGAACATATTGTAGTATATCAATGACAACATGTGAGGAATTTATTGATAATTCAAACCACAATTTAGACTAGTTGCATTTCTGCATCGTTTCAAACTTGGGCTCCTCTTTTTCAAGTCCATACTTCTCAATCAAAGTTTCAGACAACTGGTTTTCAAGTCCAAATTGCAGTTCATCACTTGTAATACAAGTATCACATTGGTTGGCAGGAACCTGGATATGAGGCACAGTTCGCTAGTCTTGACTTGAAGAGGTTCTTCAAAATGGCAATAACTGTTCAAACCACAGGTTCTTCTGCTATGTCCCTCGAAAAAATGCAGGCGAGCAACAAGCAAATAACGTTGCCTTCTTGGCTCTCTGAGGAGGATGTCAGTTACCTCGCAAGTGTATATGCAAAAACTGGCTTCGCTGGTGGCCTTAATTACTACCGCTGTTTAGACCTGTAAGTCTTTATTTATTTTATTTTAAAATCAAACCATTCATCTGTGTAACTCATTCATGCCACATTATCATACAGCCTTTCTG